AAAGGAATCGACCTGCGGTCACGACACCGAACATTCTGGAACATGATTGATGAGCTCATGATAAAGTCATCTCAAGGAAACGCGACCAATGAGAAGGTGGCTTTTGATATTCAGAGAACGGTTCCGATGGACCAAGTGTTACCCATGGCAGACCACGTACCAGCCCATTGCATTGGAGCCGACCTCGGACCTGCAATAACAACTACTAAAATGAAACGATCAAAGCATCACCGCCCCCGACCAGATGAGCGGTCCGCCTCATTTCCAATACTACTCGCGAAGCAGGTAGAGCCACTGCCTGTAGTTACGCCTGTAAAAGACAAAGAATTCTGGAAGGCGCTACTAGCTCCCTCCTCGAGAAATAGCACGGAGATTTCATGGACGGATTTTTGCCGCGCTATGCAGAGGGTTGGCTACGTACAAATACGCCAGGGAGGCTCAGGTCGACGATTTGAGTTTAAGAACGGCGCGACCGGTTGTGCGACCGGCGGAGTCCCCGGTGCCATCGTGTTTCACGAACCTCATGCCAACGGGGGCAAGGTCTCGCATCGCAATGCGCAACGCAACATTGGTGGCTCAGAAGGCTTAAATATCGGTTCGAAATAGAATTATAACTAGGCAAACTAGGCAAATTAGAGCATTGAAAAGCCAGACTAGCTAAACCATGCAGAATATAACCGTCGCTATCACATCCGCATGCTTAGGCGCGTGGGGAGGGAGGGAGGTGGAGTTGTGACAGAAATGCAGTAGCACCAAGATTGAGGAGAAATCGAGACCGTCTGAGTTTCCTAGTCTCGCAAAGAAACAAGCGAGGACCTTGCGACGTGTGACCCGAGGCCCAGTAGCAATTGGTGGTCTGTCCATCCAAGCACGATGTATTTGGTGCGCCTGGCCAGCTTGGCGGGCTGAATGACGTGAATTACGTTCCGTCCGCGGGCTGAGACCGGCAAATGGCTACGGGTATGAGCGTACGTATTCGCGAGTCTGGCAGAATGTGACAATAATCTCCTCAGACCTCTTCCGAGAGCTGCCTCCGAATCGGTTGCGCTGACCGACGTGACATCTTGACTGGCCTCTTCAGCTGTTGGTACTCGTGATGAGTCCGGTTGCCTAGTGCAGATCCTAGATTCCTCTTCCATTCCTTGGTATTGGTGTGTATTATTATTTTCTATTTTCCAAGGCTCCTTAAAAGGCTCTGCCAAGGCAAGACATATTTTCAAATCCGAACTGTGGTTGCTGTTTGCAGATCAGAAACGGACGGGTGTTATGTTACACAACCCGTAGACGTTTGGCCTGTCGCGTGTCTGACCTGTCCCGCAATCTGCCTAAAGGCCCATTTGCCCGTTGTGATCGTTTTGCTGGGCGTTGCAAAACAAATTTAGAATGGTGAAAGTCGATGATCAAGGCCCGCCGCAGCTCGGCGTTCCAAAGGATATTTTCGCGCCGAAGGTCTTGATGGATGACCCCCAGGCCGTGAATTTCTGCTACCGACCGCTTAATCTCCTTCCGAAGCTTCGAGCCCGGCTCGATCTCTTTGGGGCTTGCACCACCCCAGCCCATGATTAACATATGACGGATTTCTCCCGCTCCGTGCAGGAAATAGACCTTTGATAAATTGAT